GCAGAAGTCTCCGATTCAATGAGAGTGCTAAGGGAAGAATTGGCAGCATCGAAGCATAGGGTAATTGATCAAGAAACAACAACCTGAAAAAAATGAAATTATTGTATTCCACATTAGGTGAATGATACTATGTCTCCCTTCGGATTTCTTTCCTCTTCTTTCCTTCTCTTTTTATTTTTTTTAACAGGTGTTTGTGTTTCATTTTATTTTGCTAAAATTTTATTAATATACTTGATAATTGAGAACCAATTATTAGTCTTACAAAATATGTGATTGAAATTAATATTTGACTAAGAAAATGAAATCTATGCAAAGTGCTCTTAAACTATTTAATTTCTACTTGAGGAAACTGCATTCTTTACACTTGATTAAAGGAAAAATAAAATGGCTTCTTAAACTATTTCATTTCTACTTGAGGAAATGGCATTCTTTACACTTGATTAAAGGAAAAAATAAAATGTCTACTTTTTTGAAGGTCCCAATAATTTAATTATTGAGAAAACTCATTTAAAAGGCCCAGTCAGTCAAAAGTGACTAAAGGCCTAACCATTATATTTTGGCTACTTATTCACACTATATTTTCTAGCTACATCTCATTTTTATTGTCATGAATGTCCTTTAACTTTAGTCGTTTTTGCACTTACATACCCAAATTTTCATCAAATTCTTACCACAACCCTCTACTAATTTTTATATCTTATCTAATAGTAACAGTTTTAGTCCCAAAAGTTTGTTAGGAAAGTGTAAAATACTTATTTGCCTCCCATACTTTTAAATAAGGGGTATAAACAACAACAAAAGTTTCATTTTAATGCATGTTAGAAGAATATTTGGTCCAAAATCATCATTAGAGATAAGATGTGCTAACCAATTGAAGTTTAAGGATTAAGTATTATAAAAAAATTGAGGAATAAGTGTTGAAATGACCAAATATTGAAAAGTTTCATTGTAATTAAATGTAGTGCAAGAAATAAAATTATGATATGAATATAATTCCTTTATAGTTTTCGGGTAAAATGCATCTGTTTACGTAAAAAAAAATGTATCAAATACCCCTGAGTTTACTTATATATGATAATTTACCAAAATGCTACAAGGACACAAAATGAAGTCGAAATATAGAAAAATAAAAGAGTCTCCATAAATGTGATTTTTAATTTTATTCTTCTTGTCTGTGAGAAAAAGATGAATGTTTTATGTAGAGTTGTCATGATTTTAAATGAGGGGAGAAGAAAGAAGTTTGATGTGGAATTTAATTTTAAATGTATTGAATTTCAAATTTTCAACGATGACACGATTTGAATGTTCGTTTTTGTTGAATTGGCAGTTATTTTAAACAAAACAATGTTCTTTTTGTTCAAATGCCAAAAATAAAGATGGTTAGAAAAAATTGCAATATTAATGTACGAATATTATACAGATTGGTATTGGACGTGAAAATTAAATTATAAACAAATATAAATGAACGGTGAATAAATTGATAGCATTTGTGGTTTTTTCGAGATGTGTGAGTAAATAGTAACTTGAGTGTTTATAGATAGTTTATAAACATGAGGCAAAAATTGGTTAGATGTACAAAAGCACGGTTTATACGGATAAAAACATTCGAAAACATGAGGCAAACTACAAAGATCATTATACGGATAAAAAAAATCTGAATGTTGTATAATTGCCTTACAGAATATTTATTGTAAGATGGTTATAAAAATAAAGATGCATGTCGATATGTTTTTATAAAGAAAATAAATATATTTGATATAGTTTATGCTCACGATTTATATCTAACAGGAACTCCTGAAATGTTCAACAAAATTGTAAATTGTTTGAAAAGTAAGTTTGAGATGAAAGATTTGAAGAAAAAATCGATTTTTGTCTTGGGTTGAAAATTGAACATTTTCAATAAAAATGATTTATTCAACAATTTTCATATAAGGAAAAGTATATCCATTGTCTTCCTCAGTTGATCACGCCGTGAAAACTATAAATTTCACCCACTTGAAGATGGGAAAAAAATTATTGGTTATAAAGTAACATACTTAAGTGTAATAGGCACATTAACTTATCTTGTAAACTACATTCAATTAGATATAGCTGTACATAGGGGTGGATTCGGGACCAAACTACAAGTCGGGTTCATATGTAGAAAACAAATAAACTTAGACATAGAAAGTATCTTTTTTAACACAAAAAAGGCACTAAATGGGCTGGGGCTCACTACAGTCCCGCTAGATACGTCCCTGGTTGTACATCAACTATGAGAAGGCATTGGATCGGTGTTCAACTTCATTACCCAAGATGTACTATTGACATGAGATTATTTATTTCAGAAAATTAGAATATTCTTTAGTAGCATCTGCATATACAAGTTATCTCTCTAATCCATATAAAGTAACACTGTAAATAATATGTATTTACACATTAAAAACAACTATATATTGGAGATCTATAAAGCAAACATTGATAGCAACATATTCAAATTATTATGAAATTATTGCAATCCAATAAAGCAAGTTGAGAATATATAAGGTTCAAGAACATGATCTATCATATCCAAGTATCATGTGAATTAGCTTCAATAAAGGATAGTCTAACAATATTGTTTGAAAGTAGTGCAACTTGTATTGCAAAATTCAAAGGATGCTACATCAAAGGGAACAAAAGAAAGAATATTTGTCCAAAATTCTTTTATACACATAAGTTTTTGAAGAATAGCAAATGCCGATATTCAATAAATTTTCAAGTGATAATGTGTCTAACTTATTTACAAAAGTATTACCACCATCTACATTCAAGAAATTGGTACTCGGGGATTGAAATGCATTAGCTCAATGATCTGTAGTGATATCACCAAATGGAGTAGCACTACTCTTTTTCTTTCATGTAGATTTTGTCCCATTAAACTTTCATGACAATGCTTTAATTATGCAGCATTTTCCCATAATACTCTAAAATTTTAACAATTAATTGAATTCTTTTTCCATTTGTTTGAATTTTCCCCTTAAGTTTTTGTCAAACAAGATTTTTAACGAAATAGTTATTGTCAAAGAGTCATCAAACGAACAGTGTTATGAAATTATGAGATAACTATTATAATGACTATTAAGTCGTATGAGAATACTTTGATAAGTCTTACTTTAGAAGTTTATAACTCGATCAATTTATAACTCTCATTAAAACCATACATATATGGGTCCATTGTTTTACACTTCACTTTTTGAATCACATATTTCTTTCATTTCCTTTAATTTCACAACAGATTTGATATTATTGATTGATAATTTTCTTTTTATTTAAGCTTTTTATCTTTATCAATTTTCTTGGAACCAAATCATAATTGAAATGTTCAGCTTGATTCAATTCTGTAATTATATTTGAAATAAATGATTCCGTTTATAAAATTCCAATGGTGTTTGAAACGGGACCATCCACGAGTATGCTAAATCTACCACAGCTAGGCAAATTAGCGATCCTGGTACTAAGCACCCATTTCAGAATAATGACCATTTGGAGTTAGTTTCTATTAGTGTTTTACGTATAAATGCCTCGTAATTGTGCGCATTATTCAAGATCCAATCATACGTAATTTGTATCTCACAATGACAACTCCTTGTGATTAACAAATCACTTAAACTTGGATATTCGGACTCTATTATTTAATATTATTTATCACAAAATTAATTTAAATAAATAATAGATCTTGCCAAAATTAAATGCATTAAACATATTAAAAGTGTTTACAACCTAAATCGATTGGATCTAGTGTATAACACTTACAAACTCCCACTTGCACTAGATCCAATCACTCATGTATTTAATACCATAAGCGTCCACATGATGATCATGTTTCTGATGTGACAATGACTTTGTCAGTGGATCTGCAATATTGTCATCTGTGGAAATTCGCTCTATCGTTCCGTCATTTCTTTGTATAATCTCCCTGATGTGATAATATCGCCTTAACACATGTTTGGATCGTTGATAAGACCTCGGTTCCTTCGCTTGTGCGATGGCTCCATTGTTATCACAATATAAAAGTATAGGATCAATAATGCTAGGAACAATTCCAAATTCATTAATGAACTTCTTGATCCAGACAGTTTCCTTCGTTGCTTCAGAAGCAGCAATGTACTCGGCTTCTGTTGTTGAATCAACGGTTGTCTCCTGTTTGGAACTTTTCCAACTAACCGCTCCATTGTTGAGAGTAAACATATATCTTGATTGAGACTTGCTATCATCTTTGTCAGTTTGAAAGTTGGCATCAGTATACCCATGAATTTTCAGTTTATTTCCTCCATAGATCAAGAACACATCTTTAGTCCTTCTCAAGTATTTAAGAATGTTCTTAACCGCTATCCAGTGTTTTTCACCAGGGTTTGCTTGAAACCTGCTCGTAACACTTAGAGCATATGAAACATCTGGTCTCGTACATAGCATCGCATACATGATAGATCCTATCGCCGAAGCATAAGGCATCTTATTCATGCGACTTCTTGCATCATGTGTTTTAAGACACATATCTTTTGAGAGGTAAATCCCATGTGACATGGGACATAAACCTCTTTTAGATTCTTCCATATTAAATCTTCTCAAAATTTTATCTATATACGAAGATTGGGATAAGCTTAGTAATCTTTTAGATCTATCTCTATAGATTTTGATTCCCAAGATACATGCTGCCTCTCCCATATCTTTCATGGAGAAATTTTTTGACAACCATAATTTTACCGATTGAAGCATTGGGATGTCGTTTCCCATTAATAATATGTCATCAACATATAATATTAGGAATACGACCGCGCTCCCACTTGTCTTCTTGTAAACATACGATTCATCTTCATTTTTGATAAAATCAAACATTTTGATTGTTCCATCAAAACAAAGATTCCAGTTCCTAGAGGCTTGCTTTAATCCATAAATGGATCAATTTAGCTTACATACTTTGTTGGCTCCTTTGGATTCAAAACTTTCAAGCTGTATCATGTACACCTCCTCTTGTAAGTTTCCATTAAGGAAATCAGTTTT